ATTGTATGATAATGGCTTTGGAAGAATTAGGTTTAAATATATCTGAAGTGAAATCTAAGATTTGTGTCTTTAGTCGAGGACGCAGAAAGTATCAAACTAAAATAACTATTAATAATATTCCTCTCGATATTGTAGATAGTGTTAAGTATCTCGGTCTATGGTTAGATAAAAGGTTGCTGTGGAACAAGCACATAAGTGAGGTTCAAGAAAAATGTACAAAATTTTTAAGTATATTGAGAGTTTTAACAGGGCCTACTTGGGGTGTTCATCCAGTTCATTTGCGAAGATTGTATATTTCATTAATAAGAAGTAGGATAGACTATGGCTGTTTTTTGTATGACAGTAGTGCTAAAAGTAATATTGCGAAATTGGACAAAATTCAAAATCAAGTGTTAAGGTATATTGGCGGGTTCATTAAATGTACGCCTATTCATACTATGGAGAGTGAAATAAGTATTCCTCCACTTAAAATAAGGAGACGCTATCTTGCTTTTAAATATTGTCTCAAAGCTCTTTCTGTATCAAACAACATGTCTACAAAATTGTTAGGTGAATTGAATTTACTCTGCCAAACAAGGAATTGGGCACATAAAAAAGAACCTTTATTAATATCAACTTTCAACACAATCAAACCAATTCATGTTCATTCTTGTCATCCTCTTCAAATGTTTTCATTAGATATTTGGGTTACGGGTATTCAGATTAATAATATAATTAGAACAGAAGTAGAATACATCACAAATGCTAAATCTTCTTATGATACTAATTTGCTAAAACATGAAGTCGTCAAAGAAATTAATATGAAATACAATGATTGGCATAAAATATTCACTGATGGAGCAAAGTCTACGGGTGGGTTAGGCACAGCGTTTTGTGATTTAAGTAAAAATCATTTCGGTTGCTTTAAAATCAATTGTAATATGTCTATTATGTCAGCGGAATTAATTGCAATTTTAGAAGCATTGATATATATCTCATCTATCATAAATGTTAAGAAATGTGTAATTTTATCAGATTGTAAGAGCGGATTACAACACTTAATTTATTGTGCATCTGGAAAAAGAGGAATTCCTATTGCTTACAAAATTTTAGAACTCATTCATAAATTAAACCTAAGCAAAATTGATCTAATACTGCAATGGATTCCAGCACACGTTGGTTTACGGGGCAATGAAGAAGCAGATCGTTTAGCTAAACTGGGCATAGAGAAAGGTAGGGAACATCAGTCATTACCACATTTTACTGATTATATATCTAAATTCAAAAATCAATGTCAAAAAGATTGGAAAGAATATTTTAACGAAATTTCAAAAGAAAAAGGGATTTGGTACAAAACTATTCAGGCTGAACCACCACTTATTCCTTGGTTTTGTGGAATTAAAATCAATAGGTACTGTATTAAATTAGCTGTTCGTTTACGTTCTGGTCATTATCCATCAAAAAAATTTGCACATATGATGGGAAAGTCCTTGTCACCCCATTGTCAAACTTGTAGTACCATCGATGATGTGCATCATATTCTATTAGAGTGTCGTATTAACACAAAGGAAAGAGAAGAATTCATGCGCCACTTTAACTTAAATAAATTGAATGTTGGTCTTATTCAAACTATGTTAGCTGAACTTAAACCAGAAATTTTTGAACATCTCTGTAAATTATTGATGCCCATTAATTCTTCTCTTTCCGCATCTAGGGAAGGTAGATAAAGTTTTGTTGGAGAAATCAGTTCAGGGTACAATAGGACTGATATACCTGAAGAAGGTAAAAGCCCTTAAAATATTAAAAAAAAAAAAAAAATAATGCCAGTAGTTGCCACGCTTGGCAGACGAGTTGGCAATCGCAGTTACGTTTTAGTGATGTTTTAAGTGGCACGCTACTGCCCATCCCTCGACTATTGTATTCCTTTACTCGCCTCTTGCGGTACCTACAGAAAGAATCTTATCTTATATTCGCATATGGCGTCAGCTAAGCCGTTGCACGTCGATCCATCGGGATCTTTTGTGCTTCCCCCTGCCTTATACCATCATTTCATAGATCCTATGTGTTACCTTAACGATATCCCGCGGTTTAAGATATCTGTACTCCCCTGGCTCTGGTTAAGCCGTTCCCAGTAGACTCATGCGCATGCTCGCTAACGAATCACAGTTGCACATCAAGTGTTCCATGGATTCCGATTTCTCCCCGCCCAGTCTGCTCAGTGTGTCTGAAGATAGACCCATCTTGTGTAGTACATGCCTTATTGGCATATGTCCAGTTAAGGCCTTAATGACCATAATGAGTCTTGCCTGTTGTCTACCACCGCTGTAGATGAGTTTATCCCATCCTTCAACATTGTCATTTAAGAACTTTTTAGAATGTTTAAGACCCTTCAAAGTCCTCCATTCCGGGAAGAAAGAGGTGGCCCATAGTCTGCCAGGAGCACACGGTCCTATCAATAAGTGCCACGATAGTTATACACCCAAATCCGAACTAAATTGGCTCGACCGTTACTCAAACCCCGGGACTTCATTTTAAAACAACAAACCTACTGTGCTACGGAGATTGTCAGCAAGAGTAAAGCGGCTACAGGAGCAATACTGAAGAGGCTGAGAAGTTGACGGTTGGACAGGCTATCTGTCTTACATTTTACCGAGACGTGGCTTGATTAATGAATGCTTGATAATGTTTGCAGAGTTTGATAACGGAACTTGCAGGATAAGGTGCGGTGGAAAATAAGTTTTTAAACGAAAATAAAATTCGCAGACAAGAGGAATGAATAAGCGGCGTAATGTCAAGTTAACTTTTTAACAACTTATGATATTTCCTGTATAGAAAATAGATTATTTTAAATAAGGCAAAGGGGACATCCGCTAGGGAAAAGTGGCACATTTATTCCATTTATTTTTATGAGTCGCACAGTGGTAGGGATAGGTGGCGAATCACACTCTTACTCCCCAGAGGGGAAAGTTTGTAGCGATAAGTGGAACGGGTCGCTGTTTCCACATGCAAAAATCTTTTTATAGTATTGAACACCAAATGCCAATATTAGGGGATCAATAAAACTCTTTAAATGAAAATTTATTTTTAACAATTTTAATATTTATATAAAAAATGCATTAAAAATACTGTATTGTTCTGAAAGTACTTTGTTATATAGGCACAGTAAGCTATATATATATATATATATATATATATATATATATATATATATATATATATATATATATATATATATATATATCACCGCAAAAAAGACACCGTTTGTCGTATCTCCTTACTTTCGGGGCACTTCCCTCGATACTAAGTCGAGTCTGGGGATTCTTGGCGTCGATATATCTAGCGACGTCCAGTTTTGCGGTCATCTGGAGGAAAAAGCTAAGATAGCTTCCAAAAAGTTGGGGGTGCTCAATAGGGTGAGACGGTATTTCACGCCAGAAAACCGCCTGAAACTATATAAAGCTCAAGTGAGGCCACACATGGAATACTGTTCTCACCTGTGGGCAGGAGCGCCACAGTACCAACTCCTTTCGTTAGACCGCATTCAAAGTCGGGCAGCTCGAATTGTTGACGATCGGCGTCTTACTGTCCGACTTGACCCACTGGAACTGCGTAGAGATGTTGCATCTCTGTGCATTTTCTACCGAATTTATCATGGGGAGTGCTCTGAAGAATTGTTCGGATTGATACCTGCTGCAGATTTTCACCATCGTACAACCCGCCATAAACTAAAATTTCATCCCAACCATCTGGACAAGTGGCGGTCCTCCACCGTGCGTTTTTCAAGGCACTTTCTCCCACGCACAACCACTCTTTGGAATCAACTTCCAGCAGCAGTATTTCCGAACCGATACGACAACATAACCTTCAAGAAAAGAGCATATTCCTTTTTAAAAGGCCGGCAGCACACCTGCAATGCCGTAGGTGTTGTGGGTGATCATGGGCGGCGGTAGTCACTTACCATCAGGTGAGCCGCATGCTCGTTTGCCCCCTGTGTTGTAAAAAAAAAAAAAAAAAAAAAAATATATATATATATATATATATATATATATACATATAATTTTTGTCGAAGTTGAGAGGATTATGTATATACTCATTGTTTACTCCAACTTGAGAGGTAGAATAGTTTTATGTACCTACCATTAAAAAAGATCCCGGTACGGACTGATACAACGCTTGGTGAGACAACTATAGTTTGTTACGACGCCGACGCAATCGAATGAAAGTGTAAACAAATGAATTATTCGGCTAACGTGGAGTAGCAGTATGTAGCAGTATAAATCAAATTGCGATTAATTGATTGATTGAATGTATTTATTTTTTACTAATTTCACAGAAACACTTGTGATGATTCCAATCAAAACTTGATTGCTCTTTACTTCTCTAGAATTTCTTAATAAATTTACTTCTACAGTGATTCAGCTAATTTGTTATAATTTATTTTCACAATTATATTTATAATTTGATTACTTTAATAGATGTCGGTAGGGGCCGCCCTAGACGGACGTATGTCGACCAAATAGGCGATGTGCTAAAGAAGGGCCAAAGTTAAAAGTACCCATAACCGGCGAGCGTGTATAAAAAGATTGATGAATGTGGAGGAAGCGAAAGAGATTTGTTTCGAAGCATTTGGCGTTCCATTGTTTCAGCCTACCCTAATGGGAGACAGGCGTGACAGATATGTATGTATGTATGTATTTTAATATAAGACATTTCATTGTATTTCACTGTGATGGATGGTGAAGAGAAATAAATTTATTTATATATAAGAGATGATAATATTACATAATATTGTATTTAAAATGACGGAATTTTAATCGTGCCTCCCATCAAACTATTTATAACTACTCCTCTCCATCCAAAGGTTGCCTGGAAGAGATCGCTTTTAGCGATAAGGTTGCCCATTGTTTTCTCATTGTGACTATTTCTTGTAATTGTTTGTATCTATTTATAATATAAGTTTACTATTGCAATCTTTTGAAGGAAACAATAAAGAGTATTCATCTATAAAGCTATCGACTTACCATCGCTAAGTAGCGGTTGCACATCTGCATCTGGCCGGCCGGCTGGGCATAGTGGAAGCGTGGGTGGTGACGACGTGCCGCCGCCTTCCGACTCCACCTGTCGACATACACACATACATTAGCTAATAAAATATGATATTATAAAATAATAAACACTACTGGATTTATGACAAAGCAATGCTTGTACTATGAGTAAATATTTACCGTAATTACATACACATATACTAGTGAGCCGCTGCAGCGTCGCGTAGTTTTTTGGAAATATAATGAAACTTTATTCCAGACAGACACAGGTACAGAGGAATAACACCTGAGTCCTCAGGAATGGCAACACATGAGGGGTATCATGGGCGGAACAGTATACTCTGTTATGTCCACGGTACTGCTCATGTCTAAGGAATCGATCGAATTAAAACTGGTTTAGCAATTTACTTTTTTTTTAAATCAAAATAATGGTTATACCAGAATATAGTCGGTTTTTTTTAGTGGTAAACAATTTTAATGTGTATTATTGTTTGTATGAGCTTTGTTTATAATAGAATTTACATAGATAATGATTCTTTACAGACAACAATGTGTTTTATTCCTTAGAGAGAGGGACTTATACTAGGTAATTTTTTTCAATTCTAGTATGTATTATTTCGCCGTGCATTCCCTGGCATAGAATAGGCCACCCCGGGGGAGAAGGGATTGTTAGTAATTGGGATTAGCAGCTCCATTGTTATCAATATACCCTGTCAGGTCGACCTCCTCGTGGTTCCCTCTGAAAACCATTGTGATTGATTTATTGTTAGATTCGTCACGGTGGGCCAACTGACCTGATTCATCCTCATCTATCATCCTTCACAGGTACCCCGCCAGTGTATACTGATAGCGCAGGCGGGGTTACCATTCCATTATCATCCATTAAAAAAAATAGGCCACCCCTTCGTTTCCCATGGGTGTAGTAAGAGGCGACTAAGGGAGAGCTAGGTATGGGCACCAGTGTCCCTTTTAAAACATGTCTAAAAGCCTAACTGCGGTTGTAAATCCGCCCGCCAAACGTGGCAACTACTGGCGGAACTCCCCTTATGAGGAAGGCTTATGTGTATCCAGTAGGGGGCAGTTAACGGCTGTAATAATAATTTGTTTCTATCGCCACTTATTATCATTTCTACAAACAGCTGTGCTTGCATGACTGTTTTAGTTTGAAGGGTGGGATTTGGTAGAGAAATTTTAGGTACAAAAGTATAACAACTTAGCAATCAGAGATGGGAACGTAGGACAGACTAACGCCATAGCATGTTCTATTGTTGTTGCCTCTTTGTACCACTGTCAGAATAATAAAAATCTGAAATGAATACCTTCAATTCCATTATAAAAATGTTTTACACCATAAATCCAGGAGATTACGAAACACTTATTTGCACAGCTGGTATATAAAAACAGAATGTGATTGAAAAATAAAAATCATTGTAGATGTAAAAAAATAAATGTTTTATGTCCAGATGTATAATAAAATGTATTATGATTGTATGTATGTAATGTATGTATGTAACCAGAGAGAGACTTTGTACAAAAGTCGATTGCTTGGGTACCTCTGACCCATTCGTGTTTCTACCGTGAAGCAGTTGTGTTTGCATGGCTGTGTTTCGGTTTGAAGGGTGGGATATGGCAGTGAATTTACCGAGTACAGAGAAATAACACCTGAGTCCTCAGGCATGGAGGGTGTCATGGGCGAAACAGTATACTCTGTTATGTCCATAGTACTGCTCATGTCTATAGGCGACGGTTACCACTTTCCATCAGGTGGGCCGTCAGCTTGTTTGCCATTCTAAGTTGTACAAAAAAAAATATATAATATAATAATAATAATAATATTATCGATTTTACTGGAGATTTACCGGTCAAAGACGTTCATTAGTATCTGAATATTCTATTAAAACTCGATAATATCTGTTTATTCGAGTTGAACCATTCATCTAATTGTAACCTCTTGTAAAAATTCGGCAAATGTCAAAGTATCTTGAAAAGGCACTAGCAGCGGCTATCGACCTCCTATAATTGAGTTTTAAGGGATCTGAAGGGACCGAGCATTAGTTTAAAATGTTCCTCTAATTCGCTGATAATCCATTAAGCCAGATGAGTCGCGGTAATACTGTAGTGTTTTAAAAGTTTCGAAAGTTACGAATAAAATAGCCGTCAATGTGATAGTAACTATACTATAATGTACTAATATAATATATTGTACGATAACATACTAATATTATCGTACAATTTTATCGTCACGATATAATAGGACAGCATTTTTCTCTCTTATTAAGCAATGATAAGGAAATGTTTTAGTTTTTGCTATTAAAAGTGTATTTATACATCATATCATCAATTTACAGGGTACAGAGCAATAGACACCTGTGTCCCCAGGAATGGCAATGCATGGGAGTATCATGTGCGTAACAGTATACTCTGTTATGTCCATGGTACTGCTCATGTCTATAGGCGACGGTTACTGCTTTCCATCAGGTGGGCCGTCAGCTTGTTTGCCATTTTAAGCTGAATAAAAAAGTCATATCAGGCTTTAACTATCCACTGCTGAACATAAGCCTCCGCCAGTAGTTGCCACGATTGGCATGCGGATTGGCAATTGCAGTTAGGTTTTAGAGATGTTTTAAGAGAAACTGCTGCCTGTCCCCCCTCTCCTTTAGTCAATTCTTACGACGTCCACTGGAAAAGAAGGGGTGACCTATTCTATGCCGGGACCACATGGCTATTACATATATAATTAACTGCTTTAATGGCTTTACCAATTACTATAGAACTTGATATATATGTACTATATGGGATAGAGAAGCTTAAAGCTTTTTATCTCGGTCAATGAACATAATCCGGTCACGCGCACAAAGTAATACGTAAAAGCTAGATCTAAATAAATAGAACTTTGCTCTGTTATGTTAGTGTTGGACGAGAACAAGATCACTTTTGTCGCATCCACAAAGTTTTTTAAATAATAAAAGATGTAACCATCATCATCATTTCAGCCATTATCCGTCCACTGCTGGACATAAGCCTCCCCATAGACTGTCATAAAGAACGATCCTAAGCCACCTGCATCCACTGATTCCCTGCAACGCATTTCAGGTCATCACTCCATTTATTGGGGGATCGTCCTATACTGCGATTGCCCGTACGGGGTTGCCACTCAAAAATCTTTTTTTTCATACAAGAAACCACGTCACTGATATAGCCCGAAGGATAAACAACCTAAAGCGGCAATGGGTTGGTCACATAGTTTGAAGAACCGACAATCGATGGGGAAGAAAGGTAAAAGATGTAATCTCCAAAAAATAACGAATGCTTTAGTGACATGTACAGTATTGTACAATAGCAATCGATAAGCAGCCAAAAGACGCATCTATAATACGATGTACGAAATCGTGCAATGAAAATGTTTTACATACTATAATTTGAAACTGCACGACAGTTGAATTGTAAGAGAGGCTCGAAATTTTTCGATCTATGTTTCTTAATAAAAAAAAGTTATATACCTTCGTGTCTGCCATAGTATCTACCATTCTAATTTAAGAGCTGCGCTCTTGTCGGTGGAGCTCTTGCCACTCACTACGATTTTCAACGAGTCTCTTCACCTCTTGATACGACACGACACCAACTCCTTCCTTGATCTGCCCGATGTAACTATATCTCGGTCTCCCTCTTCCCCTCCATCCTTCTATCTTACCTTCTATTATAATGTTCATAAGTTCGTCGTGTCGTATCAAGTGTCCCAACATTTTTTCCCTTCTGTCCTCAATCGTTCTAATAATTTGTCTTTTTTCCTTAACCCTAAGCAGGACCTCCTCATTGCTAATTCGATCCCTTCAGCTAATTTTTTCCATCCTTCTCCAGCACCACATTTCAAAGGCTCTAAGTTTATCCATTACCTTCTGAGTTAATGTTCACGTCTCATATCTATACAAAGCTATACTCTAGATATAGGTTTTGATAAGCCGCTTTCTACTTTTTGATATTACCAGCGAGGTAATAATAAATGGGGAATCGTGAGGATAGAAGTCCGTTTATTTACCAAGTATAAACAATTAGGTGTAGAGATCTCAAGGATAATGTTGGCATAGAGATCTCAAGCTGACAATCCAACTTGTGGAATAGTTCTTATTAGCTCGCGATAGTCGCCGTTGATTATCCTTCTTCGTGAGATATCGCTATCGCTTGTAGATAAATACCGTTCGACCGTTGTTTTTCCTTTTTTTTGAGCTGTTATTGCTGTTAGCTGTTGGCCTTGACAACTTTACCGGGCACGTGTGCAGGGGAGCGAGGCCTTGACAGCTTCACTGGACGCGTACGCAGGGAAGCGACTGAGTGTCGACTCTTACCGGTGAACCGCCCAAGGGTGCCAGAGCGGCTCGAACCACGGCTTAAGCCACCGTACTTCGGCCTCCGTACGGGATGGAGGGTCGCATCGAGGGAAGTTATTCGACCGCGCCTTGCTCGCCTTTTATACCCGTCGAGCCAGTTTTTAGAAAGTTCTTGACATTTCGGGATTGAGTCATCGTAAGTATAAGAAATTTTGCGACTTTTCTACTTTCTTAATTTGTTTGTTTGTTGATATGCAAAAACGTACATGTATATATAACACATATATAGACAGAGGTACTTATTTATCCGCACCTCAAGGTCAATGTGCCTTTTTATATGTATATTTTCCGATTATTGGTAATATCGACTATTCTCAAAATATTGTTTCTACATTGAGAGAACACTTTTATTTGGACAATGCATTTTTGGAAGAATTATATAAAACAATGCATTCAGAAGTTATGAAGGTAACAATATAAATTTACTAATTGCTAGAGTAATTTTCTTAAAGCAAATTATGTTTGTAAATACTAAAAGATCACTATGTCTTCTATGAGGGAGTGGCAGTAGCGTCTGTCTTAAAACATCAGTAAAAGCCAAGCTGCGGTTGCTAACCTGCCTGCCAAGCGTGGCAACTACTGGCTAAGCCCTCCTTATGGGGCAGGCTATGTTCCACAGTGGACAGTTAATGGCTGATACATATATATATATGCTATATATATGCATATATATATGCTTTGCTTGACC